CAGTCGATGGACCGGAAGGCTATCCTGTCGGCGTCTGCCGCTGCCAGGGTGGCCTGCTTCTTGGCCTTCTTCTCCCTGTCGAACTCCCACCGGTGCACGCACCGCTCCAGCGTTTGCTGTCGATCTCGCCCGGACTCCACGTACGCCCGCTGCGCCGCTGTTGGCTGGAGAACCTTGGTGTACGCGTCTACCAGGCTGCAGGTGCGGGTTGACGCGGAGGACGCGGGTCGTTCCGGGCGAAAGAAACGCGTGAATTAAAAAAATATTTACTCCGTACTTGGGGTCACATAAATACGGCGTGTGCGTTTTCAGATACATATTCTTCGAAAGTAGTTGTATTAAAATCATTAGGTTTGGGGAAGGCGTGTGTGGTGGAAGCGGCGGGTCGTCATAAGATCGTTCTTCACCCGTTGCGGGGCTGTGTGGACTGTCAAACGTCTCTGTAGGCGCGACCAGAGGCAATGCTTGAAACAGGAAGCGGTAAGTGGGGCACGCACAGGTTGGCGCGCCTCCTCATTGGTAGCGTTCGGCGCAGTCGACGATGCCAAGTAAGCAACCTCCACACACACACACACACACACGCAAACAGCGCTTTCTGCTATAGCTACGGTATCTGTATTTAATCCAGTGAGTAGCGTAGACTTCCCCATGACGCTCAGTCCCAGGGTCCCAGATTACGGCCTTAAGAAGCATATTATGTTTTCGGCCGCACTGAGACTGACGTTTCTCATTTGGTCAGCCGGTTAGCGCGGTCGATGCTAATAAGAAATTCACACACAGCGTTGTCGGTAAGAACCCTTACCATTTCATTTCAAGGGTTAGTTTCTGTCTTATCCCACTGTTTACAAGACTGGTCTCTTTGTTTGGACAGCCGGTCGATGCCAACAAAGAAAACACGCACACACATGAGTAGTACCTCACCTTGTGAAGTAGCTGAAGAGCGCGTGCGTGTGCTTGAGGAACTGGAACTGTTCGTTCCTCGCCTCTCGCTTAGCCAACTCCGCCAGGAAGTTTCTCCCCCCCACAGCCGTGAACTGCGCCGTGAGCTGCATCGAACAATCACACAACAGAAGAGCATTAGCCGGAGTCAGAAGACAGAAGGACAAACGAATGGATCAACCAATCGCAACAGACGCGCATCAACCGATTCACACATCAGAAGGACAAGCGAAGTGGATCTCACAGCAGTCGAGCATAAACCAAAGTAACAAAACAAAACAGGAGGACAAACGAAATGGATCAACCACTCACACACTGGCATGAACCGAGTCACACGACAGAAGGATAAGCGAACGGCAGGTAAGGTAAACCTTTGAACGTGTGCAGAATATTCACGTGTTGTGGGCTGAAGGGTCAAACGTAACCGAAATGTTAATGATCTTTGGGTGCACGCATTCTCGACCGCAAGAAGAGCCGTGAACGAGTCTGCAGCTGAGCCTATTCCAACGAATTTACAAAGACCGAGCGACTGATTCAGACAGTGACGCATTGCACGATCTCAAAATACCTTTGAAATAGTGCCACACAGCTACACGGTAACACGGGGAGCGAGACCGCGGGCTCGCTCAAGAACCTCTAGACTCAAGCTGCTCGATGGGTGGGCTCTTCTTTGTTCGTAGGTAACAACCATGTGGCGCTATGATTTCTCGGATTCGCGGGAAAACGACAGCCTTGAAAAGGCATTCACAAGATTATGACACAACACCGGTGTCGGTGCACTCGCCGCACAACCTGCAAGAAAGCGTACTCATAAGCACGTGCGTCGTAATGGAACACATTCCTCATTCTTAAGCGCCTCGCTGCCGTCGCTACGTACCTTGATAAGGTCGACGTCGAGGGCGGTGAGTCCCGTTGGGTGCCCCACGCTAAACTCGAAAGCCCTCGGTTCGGTGGCCTTGTTGAGAGACTTGACCGCCTTCGCGATGGGGGCCATCACCGCCTGGAAAAGACACCGTACGCCGGCACGACAAAAGCAGCGTCGGTGTAGGGCGAAAGACAAGTATCTAATCAACATGCTACTGTACGCTGTATCGGGCACAAAAGCATCATCGGTGTAGGGCGAAAAAGGGTGCTATTTAATCAACATGCTCTGCTGCATTAGACCTATCGAATGGCTGAAAGAACACGATCAAGCGGGCACACATGGGATAGTAACAAACATGGAGGAGGCACGGAAAAAGAAGGGGTAAGCCCAAGCGTTGACACCCGGTCGCGCTGTAGCTGCAAACAAACGTTGAATCAACACAAGAATCATCACAAAGCGAGTGCAGCAAAAGATATGAGCGAGCAAGGCACAAAAATGCCTACCAAAGGGGGGTAACTAGCCTAGCCCGGAGGTTCTCAGAGAAAGACTGCAGGTCGTAAAATGATTCCTCGATGGTCGAGTTGGTGCCCTCGAAACCTTCTGGAGGTCAGATCAGGGGTTCGAATCCCGGCGCAAGCGAGCTTTTCTTGCAAATCGAGTTTTCTCTCGGTTCCGCTCCTGACCTAGTGGATGGCGCTAGTTCGTGCGTACACAGAAGGGAGTGTTGAACTCTTCTCGCATTAACAATCGAAGGCAACATACCGCAGGAGGGGTGGGTAGAGAGGGGCTCTTCTGTGTGACCACGGGTTGGAGTAAACGGCACTAGTGCTGTGAGCGATGATTTGAAGTGAAGCCAATTTTTTTTTTTTGGGTACATAAAGTCTACCTACGCTGCGGAGACACACTGTCATGGCCAAATAAGCCAACTGGGGGTGCTACAACAGAGTTGACCTTAGGTGCACTTCCAACAGCAACAGGAAGTGCGGCAACTTGCGGGCAAATTCAATCGCCTTTCAGCAGCAATAGCAAGGCATCGGTGAGGTAACGATGACGGACGAGATGCCTGATGGAGCACCAACACCTTGCTAAACATCAACCTACGGCTGGTCCCGCAGCGTTGGACAAAGACCTCAAAGGACCCAAAACAAAACCCGAATTCCACGGGAGAGGCGGCACCTACACACCATACTGTATGCTACCCTCGGAGGCTACATTAAGCTACCATCATACAGGGTGCAGAGAAGCAACGTGAAGGCGACGATGTAATCGCCGGCAAGTGAACGTCGTCAGAACGAGCAACACCACACTGCTATTTCCTGTTTGTGTAAGACAGCTCTACCGCCACAAAATATCATGACTGAAACCGCGGTGCCCTGCCAAACAAACCGACTGACCTTGCGCGACACGGACGCCGGGGCGGCCTTCTTGTCCGACTTCCCAGCGGCACCAGCACCGCTTCCGTCCTCGTCCCCGTCGGCGCCCCCCCCCCCACCCTCTCCGGCCTCCGCGGTGGCTGCCGTAGCCGGAGCCTGTGGGGTAGGTACGGTCCAATTTCGAAGAAGTGCCACGATAAAAAACATGCTCAAGTTGTAGAATGTTCCTGCGGGGGAAGAACTAGGCCGTGCTCCGATTTAGATGTGGTATGACGCGGCCCTTACATGCCCTATATTTTCAACCAAATACATATTGTAACATCCACCGTTTCAAATGAATCGGCGATTATGATCCATGACTCTTGTTTTCTCGCAGCCTTGGGAGCAAGTCTAAACCAGGTCCTTGGGGCCCTCCCGTTGTCTTCGAACACAACACCACAGACACCAAAAACGGCAACAAAAACACGCCTCCTCTCTCACCGCCCTGGGGGCGTCCCCGTTCTCCTCGAAGTCTCGAATCTTGAACTCGTAGTAGGCGTAGTACGGGTCGTGGGGGCGCATGAAGTTGAACTTGGCGCTCTTGCCCTCCTCGCTGGCCTGGATGCGCTCCTCAAAGCTCTTGCCGTTCTTCGCCACGAAGCGAGCGGTCTTGTCCACGATGGCCCGGATGTCGGGGGGAGGGTAGATGATCCCCTTCACCTGTACATGTACACCGCCAGATGGAAGTCTTTCCTTCAGGAACGTTCTGCGAAAATTTCACCTTTCTCGACTCTTCCATGCAGAATACATCAGTATATGCGAGCTAGTTACACAACAACTTCTGATCCTGCACGGAGCCTCCACATCCTCCAGTGGAGCAGCGTTGTTGGTAAGCTTGGCCGTACTTGTCACTATGGTGGTGAGCGTGAACCATCGGGCAAACACCGTTGGGCTACGGTAGGATAGCGTTCTCACCCAAAGGGCACCGCACTCGGGTTCACGCTGCAAACGTACAGGAATAGCGAACCTCTCTCAAAAGCCCCAGAAAAAATCGTGAAGGTAGCACTAAATAAAAAATTCGAATGCCAGTCAAGTTGTCCGCTCCCTCTTGACGAAATTGTAGAGAACGCGGGGACTTTCTGTCGGTATCGCTGACAAACACATGGAGGTCTGTTTGAACCCGGCGGGCTATTTTCCAGAACTTTTGACTCATCCAGAATATTTGAAAATGATTGTTGATTCAGCCGTCATGGGTACTTGGCAAATGGCATATGGCCAAACTACCGGACAACACTACCCACACTGGTCACAACGATGCGGCATCAGATTCCTGTGAAAGGGGCCACCGGAACGATGTACAAACGCCGTACAAGGTGGGTGCCGACTGAACCCCGTTGGGAAATCACTGCGTGAAACAAGAGTGCTGCAGCTGGTAGTAGGTGGCCCGACATAGTGCCACTTGAGTAGTGAAGCTGCCGATGTAGCGGCATCAAAATCTCTTGCCACAATCTCAACATGTGCATGAACCCGATGTATCCAATAGTGCCACTGACCTGAATAGTGGCATACTCTTCTGTTGCCCCCGACTGCCACCATATCGGCCCACCTACTGTACTCAAATGTTCCTGCTGTACGGACCGGCTGCTTACTACTTCCAAGCAACGAACACTCGGCCGTAATATGGCCGCGAAAAAGAAGATAGGGCCGGCACCCTCAACAGAATTTGTCTCTTGTGTGTCGTTGAAAGCGGGAGAGGACGAGCAGGCAGTGGGGCAGCCCAAAGAAGGGGCGAACCGAAGGCCAAGATATGCTGGGCAATCCGAAGACATGCGGCGTAATCCCAACAACGCGCGCGCTGCATCACCTCCAACTTTGGAAGCTGATAAATCTTAATCTTTACATCGTTTAGTCGGCGGCAGTGCATGGCTCTAAGTCTTGCAAGACTGTACCCACTCATAAGCTTCGCGCGGAGCCACTACCGCTAAATTCAGCCCCCTTCAAAATCACACCGCCGGCGTTAGCGATCGACAGGTGTTTTTAAAAAAAACGAAACGTTTCTCGGCACCAACCTTCCCCTGATATGGCTGCTCCACCCCGCCATTGCTGCTGTCCCCACCCCCTTCCGCCGCCGCCTTCCCATTCCCCTCGGCCACGGCACCGGAATCTCCGTTGGAGACGGCAGCAGTGGCGGCGCTTGGTGGCGGCATCTCCGCTAGCGGCGTCTCAACCTCCATCGCAGCAACCTATAAAAGCCTTCCCCCGCCTGCTGCTTGGTGGAGTATTTCCGACAACACGCTAATAACAGCTCGCTCTCCCTTCTGTGCCACGGTAGATAGATGTGGATATGGGCTTCCTTCTTGCTTCAGCACCAAGAGAGTTGCGCACTCTGGTCTCGTCGTGGGGCCTGAAAAACAGGGTCACGGCGGTTGGGACTACAGCAAGTCAGTCAGTGGTTGGGGGGGGGAGGGTTGTGTGACGGCACAAGAGCCCTGTTTGGGTGCATCGGCTGTCGACGGTGGAATCGATTGTTTGAAGGGTGTGCGTGGAGGCACCAACACAAACCATGACGCACACGACAAAGCATTCCCCCCCCGCGAGAGCCGGAAATATCATCAGTGCAACAGCACACAACGATCAGAAGGGGGTGGGCAAGACGGGGTGAAGGGTAGCCCCGCGTTATCTTGGCACAAAGCCTGCGGGGACGATTGCGATTCGGTCCGTCGCCTGAGCGAAAAATTATACGAAGTTGCACCAACAAGACCTATAGCACATGAGGGCTGTGCTTGTTGCCACGGGAGCAAAAGCAGTGCACCTGCTACCCGTTGGCATCAAAGTGGAAAGCCAAACCTACCAGCTCGTGTGGGGTGGGTATTCGAAGATTGATGGGTGTTTTGCCCTTCTTGGATCCGTGTTGGTGTCAGGGAATCTGCACTTTTCGAATCACAACACTGCATCAAACAAAACGAGGGACTTCTCCATACCAGGACACCCACCGCTCTCACCGAACAGGCCTTGTGCGCGGACGTTTTGTGTGTGTGACAGCGCTGGCTGGTTCGCCTCCCGCGCGTTCTGGTGGAGCCCCCCCTCTTCCTTGCGAAAGATGATACACGGAGCTCCGCTTAGCCTCGCCGTCCGTTCATCGCAATCGTGTACATGCACAGCGATCCAGCTCTCTTCACGCCCCCAACGCAACGCCAGTAGGTCAACAGAAGATGTTGCCGTCTTACTTTATGACGACTGCGGCCGCGTTGTGCGCGCTGCTCCCCGAGGTTACGGGCTTCCTGGCACCGAGTGCGTTAATGGGATCCAGCACAGCAGCAACAGCAGCAGCACGGGCTGCTGCTGTCGCCTCAAGCAGCCGAGTTCCCGCGCTGAGGATGGCGGAGGAGGCCGCTGCCGGGGAAGGCGAGGAAGCACCGGCGCCGACTGCGGCCGACATCAGCAAGGGCATCGCCCACCCGGAGGCCATCTTCACGGTGCCCGACAACATCCTCAAGGTGCTGCCACACCGGTACCCATTCGCCCTGGTCGACAAGGTCTTGCACTTCGTCCCCGGCAAAAGCATCATCGGCATCAAGTGCATCACCAACAACGAGCCCCAGTTCACCGGCCACTTCCCGGACCTGCCCATCATGCCGGGGGTCCTGCAGGTGCGCGTTGGTTGGGTTCGTGCAACGAGAGTGCAACCTGCTCGGCTCACGTGTGTATGTGTATCGTATGTAGCAGTACTGCCGTAGGCAACAGTAGTTGGTTGTTCCGCCCTCTCTCGTCTGTGTGCATCTGTGCATGCACCGAAGACACGCTACATGCATCCAAGCTACGATTCTCGTAACCTCAAAACAGCGACAACATTTTTTTTGCCGACCAAAAAAAGCATCCTCGCACATCGAGGTTCAAGTTTTTGAACCAGAAACAAAGAGTGGCGCAAGAAAATGAGCCCAGCTGCACCTAAACTCCCTCCGACAGCAAAACTCATGTGACAGGTTGCATACCACCTTGATAACCTGTGCCCAATCGTTGGGACACTACTGCTGTTGCAACGCTTTTTGCGAGGTTGTGAGCCTTGATCAAGGTTATCGTTTCTTGCGAGCAATAGCCGGCAGTACAGCTGTCTGCCGCACAGGGGTCTGTTCTGTTTTTATCCTGTTGTTATGCCTTGTGTTTCCTCGCCGTAGAGAAGCTCATGTGCTATTTGCATCTGGCCCATCGCAGCTTGCCTGAAATGAGCGATAACAACTGTTTCCCGACGCAACCTCTTGTTCTCCTTCCTTCTCCATCGCACTATTACGCCAAATACTGCTGTAAGGTTGAGGCCATGGCGCAGCTCGGGGGGTTGATTTGCCTCCAGGAGCCGTGCAGCGATGGTCAAGGAACGTTCTTTTTCGCGGGTGTGGATGGGGTGAGTTTACTCTACTCACGGCTGGCTGTGGTGGCACCCAGTGGGGCAAAAAGCGTCCTGGCTTTAGCAAGCACCCCTCATGCCTTCGTGAGAGTATTTGCTTGTTTCTCTGTTCGGCCGTGATGCCGTGATAACGGCGAGGAACGAATAGCAAGGACGGAGTAGGCTGGTTTGTTGCACGATACGAGTGCAACAATGACAGATCTACGTAGCCCGGAGTGCTGAATCATCATCGGAGCATTGTAGCGTTGGATTGTGTGATTACTCGTTAAGGCCTATGTGTCTCTTCTGAATCGCCAACGGCAATCTACGTACCGTATGTTGCGTAAGTTATCACACCCTCTGCCCCGATTTTCAAAGCTCGATTCCTTGGCAGGAAAAGCAGCGACGGTGGCGAAAGTGGCGGCATTGGAACCGTCTCTTCGTGAGCTTTCCGACAACGTATCCTTTGACCTCAGCATCCTCTTCATCGTTGAATGATGGAGCATTAAAATTGTTCCCGGGAGTGTGGATTCTTAGGCAACGTTCGGTAGATGCGGCCGGGCTCCAGCTAAGCGTTCGGTGGACGTACTAAGTGGGGGTAACTGCCTGTGGAGGAAGGCATGACGGACGAGACACAGAAAATTGAAAACGTTTGGCTGGAAACGGCAGACTTTCGCAGCGATGTACTTACAAGGCCTCCTTCTTTCTATGCAACATGCTGGAACGGGGGCAGTGGCTGAAAAACACATATGGCTGAAAAGCAAATCACTTTGCCCTCCATTCCAACAAAATATTACACTCGGTGTTTCATCACATATCACTGCCGATCCACTCTTTGTGAACATCGATTTGACCGACTTTCACGTCCCATCCGTCGCAACCAAGGTGAAATGGCGCAAGCCTGTGGTACCGGGAGATGTCCTGGTCATGGAGATGGAGCTGGTCAAGTGGAAGCCTAGGTTTGGTCTGGCGAAGATGACCGGGAAGGCCTACGTCGACGGAGTGCTCGCACTAGACGTAAAAGAGTTTACCTTCGCCTTGGCAAAGTCGTAGATATAGAGTATGTGCTCATAGAGTAGTTATTTGTTTTTGGGGGGGGTGTCAGAAGGGGGCGCGCTGTTGTAGCGCCCCTGCCTTCCTGGTTTATTGACATGTGGGTGAAGAAGAGATTTCCGTAAGGTGTGCTTGTTGAGTCATGCTTCGAAGCGCTTCTTGCCGTCCAAGGTCGTCTGGCAGATTTTTAAGGTGCACATGCGCATGATATAGGAAGGCCTGATCGAGGAAGGGCAATATATTGTCACACAGCAGTGGCTTCTTGTACGGTCGATCTGGTGGTCGGCTATGTTTGTCGTGTGCTCTTTGCTTTCGCCGCCTTGGATGGATGTGGGTCATTCCCTGGCTGTTGTGCTGGGTGAATGGGTTTGAGTCCTCAACCCCGCAGCAAAAGAAACTCTTGCAGTGGGGGCAGGGATACGATGTTGTTGTTGCTCTCACCACTAGAGACAGGGTAAAAATATTTACCAAACCGGTGAAGAAGCCCTAAACAAACATGTACACCAGCCAGCGCAAAATTCTGTAGGGAAACTGTGACACCAACGTCTACACCCTCATACCGCTGCAGCGCGTACGCATGTACGCTCACGGTGCTTTGAGCAGGAGAAGACTCATCTTGGCACACCATCACAATGTACCGACGAGAACAACGTTCTTTGTAGATCCAACTTGGCATCATACCCGTAGTCCGGAAACGTCACACATTTTGTGCTATTTTTACTTAAAAGTGTAACCCTACAAATCATCTCAAACTCTCGCAGGAAGTATTAACATGACTCGGCATTCCTCAGCTGAAGTATTACTAAATACGTGGGGCGGAACGGGCAGAATGCGTGTGATCCCTCCCCTGGACACTTGGGACACAGGGTACTTGCAGCAGGCACCGGCACCGCGCCTGCACATCAAACATTTTACAACCTTAGCTCTGCAAGTTCACCCGGTTTCATCAAAAGGGGCTATGCTGACAGAGCGAAGGACGGGGAGCTAGTGTTGGGCTACAAAAGAGGCACGAAAAGGAGCATCTTCCCTGCTTCCAGCAGAAGCATCTCCTTACGTACGTGTGGGCATTCAAGGCACCACAGGATTTGAAGTCATCCCTCCTGATTGGCGCTCGCGGGCGCGTGTGTTGTGGCGGGGGGGACAAGGGTACTTTCTGAAAAATGCCTGCAAGTGAGAACCGAATACTCCGAGCACGACGTACTGTATAACATTGACTTCGTATCCAACGCTTTCGTCGTCAGGGATCGTGCACCAAACGACCCGATTAGCGCGTCAGTGGAGGCAGCAAGTTCCCACCTCTCAAGCGTCCGTCGAGGGCGATTCCCTCTTTTCACATTGGCATTGTCGACGAAGCGATGTGGTCTGATTGCGGTGCAAGTTGAAGAAGGCTAACAATAATAGGGGCAGGTAAATGTGCAGGTGACCGTGTAAGAGGTCCCATCTCCTCAAAGTCTATCGAGGATGTTCACTCTTTTCAAGACATGCTTGTGAGAGACGAAAGCTCAAGTTGACCGAAAGGCCGTCTTCTTCTTCTGCGTTCTGAGATCATTCGTTCAAGAACAGAAATGACCGATCGACTATTACACCAATTTCAAAAGGAGGGACCAACACACGTCAGCACCCGATGGGTAAAGAAACGACTAGGGGGGCACACACAGCGCGCACTCACACGGCTCGTGGGAATACGGAACACACAGACTGCAACCACGCCACCACCGCTGCCGAAAGCACCGGGAGTACAGGGGTACACATGGCCCCCGCCGATGTGATACATCCAAAACCAAACAACGGACACGCGTTTTTGTGGCTAACGCAAGCAACTCACCAACTAGCCTGTGTGTTCGCGGGTATTGCCCCGGTGAATCCGTAGAAAAACCATCAAACGGATATTGCAGGCGTGGCCGGTGAACGAACACTAAGGTACAGAGGGGCCGCCCTTGTCCTACTCCTGAGGAATAGAGCAGCGTCTGTAGCAATGCAGAAGGGGAAAACACACGCACCCACACACCCCATCAGAAAATACAAAACCACCATATACATAAAAAAGTGAAAGATGGATAAAACCTAGATCAGTCGATGTCGCCGAGCTAGGCACACAGACGACGCCCCAAACCGAACGTCATTTGAACAATCAGAGGGAACAAGAGCAAGCGACGCAAGTCTTGCATACTAAAGATAACCGGCCCCGCCGTGTACTAAGTTATCGGGTGCCCACCCTTGCCGACCCATCGGGGTCCCCCATCAGACACACCCCAAGCGTCCCCAGTTCGGAGCGAAGGGTAACGTTGTCGTCTCATTCCTCGACTCACGCAATCGAATCATGACGCCGCCGCGCCAGCATGTCGACTCTTCTTCGTCACCGCGTACGCTATTATCATCCACAATCAACCACGCGTCCTTTCTGTCTCAAGTTCCCGTGGCGCGGGGCCCGCTATGCACCCCTGTTCACTTCGCCAAGAAACGATGTACCGGACCCGACACGACTTGTCAAATAAACTCTTGCCTATCGCGCGTGTGATGCAAGACAAGCGGTGGCGTAACCTTCGGATGTCAGGCACGCCAACACCACCCTCCGGGACACCGCCGCAACAGTAAAACCAACTAACCAATCAACATTCCTCCTCTGCGTCCTTCGTTTCGGGAACGTTCTCCTTCTCCTCCTGAGCTCCGGCGCCCGAGGCCCAGTACCTCACCCCTTCAAAGGACGCGCACCACGGCTTTCCCTCCGAGAACCGCAGACCGTTCCACCACGACAAGAACGGTGTCTCGAGAGCGTGAAGGTGGAGGTGGTCTGGTGGGGAGGGGGGGCTGTCTCTTATACACATCTACANGGGGGGGGGGGGGGGGGGGGGGGGGGGGGAGAGGTCGGTGAAGCAACAGCGGGGGAGTGGCAGACAAAGGAAGTTGAAAGGGCGTGTCAATTGTCGCTCGGGTCCGACTCCCATACATAGGGGTCAAACAAAAAATAGTTAAATTATTTCGCGCGAAGCGCGAAAAAGTACGGGCGGAGGAACAGACGCAGGCCGGCGTAGATGTATGCATGTAGCCTCGCAAAGAGGCCACCACTGCTACTGCACACGCTCACACCTCACCCAACACCACCAATGAGCCGTGTACGCAGGACTGCTGCCGTTTAGCAGCGCGGGGAAGAGTGAAAGTATTGTGTGGTGTGGACGAAGCTCTCATGAATCATCATCATTATCATCATCAGCTGCTGCTGCTGCTCCTGCTCCCGCTGCTGTCGCTGTGTAGATGTATGTGCACCACTTACGCTCGTAGCAGCGGCAACGGGCTCTAAAAAGCGCCCCCGACGCCCTCTATGTGTATGTGTATTTGGTCGACTTGGCCGGCAGCGTGTGTACATCTCATTGTCTCCCTGTTTTCGGGCCGGTCTGTTATGGACAGACAGAAGATTCGCCTGCAGGCAGACCCGCGAACATGGCCGCAGATTGATTGACTTGTGTGCACTTGCTTTCCTCGCTTACACGCTGCTAGCAGCAGGCAACGGCTTCGAAAATCGCTCTCAATGCTTCGTATGATGTGTTCCTTTGCCCGCCGTGGCCTGCAGCAGTTTGTACGTCTCATTGGGTTAGGGTTGTTAGTAAGGGAGCACCACACTGTGTAATAGCAAGCTCAAAAGATCGGCCTGCAGCAGCAGCAGCAGCAGCAGCAGATTTGACCTCTGTGTCGCCTCCCTCGCTTGTGGTGCTGCCGACAGCAGCCAACCGGCTCTAACTGTCGAACCAGTCCTCCTGTTGTGTGTGCCTTTAGCTGCCCTTGGTCCACAGCAGTCTCGTGTGCTGCTGTGCTGGTTGTCTCGTGTGTTGTCTACGTGTGTCATGTGCTGCTGCTGCTGTGCTACGTCTTTCGGGGGATTCCCGCTCGGCGGCGTGGCGATCAACCAATCATCTATCTCTGTCCTACATAATGTCCTACATAGTCGACATGTGATTGGTGGGAGGACGGCATCTACCCGGCTCTACCCCTCTAAAACTTCGATGATATTTTTTGTTCCTCTTGTCCAACATAATTTTTGCCCTGCGTATGGGTGCTCTGCCGTCGCTCGTGTAACGTGTGGGCAGGCTGTTGGTCAAAACGCCTACCGCTGGACAGTGGGAAAACCATGTGGCAAGGGTTCACCTCTGGGGCATCGGGTCGGGGACCCCGACTGTTCGTGACCCAACGGCGCCCGCTGCCACCCTAAAAGGTATAATAGCGCCTGCAATACACTCTGTCGAAGCTGTGGTATTCTGACGTTTCAGGGGCATCTGGAACCTTCGGAAGCCTAGCGCTACAGCTTTTTGTGTTAGAATATTCTTCGGTACGCTTTGGGAGCTCGGCATTCACTCGAATAGATTAGGAAGGAAAGGTTTTTATTGGTGCAACAACCACATCCGATACACAACACGTAGCAGTGTAAGTCGCTTGGCGCGCGCCAGACACTTCCTTTGTGAAGTCTGTGGGTGATCCTGTCGAGGTTTTACGTCGGCAAATTGTCCCGGGCTTCCACAAACAAACGCAAAAAAAACAGCTTTGGGGGGAGCAACGTAATCCTGTTATTCCGCCGCACCTTTTGGCGCCCTTCTTTCAAACCGGTACACGCCTGTTTTTTCGACCGGTGGCATTGGGTTTGGCTATTCAACGTTTCCACATTTTGGGGACTGGTCGTTGATTGGTCTGGCTCTTCACACACGAACGACGGCGGACGGCGGACACCCACCCACCAACAATCACACGACCTGGCAAAAACAATCAAGCTAGATAGAGCACACGAGCACCGCGCGCACAAACCCTTGTTGGGGGCTTAACAGAAATCATGTGTCGCCTGCCGCTTTTCCAAGTGGTGCAAGGGTTTGATGCATCCACTCGCTCTTCTCTCCGTCTGTAGGTTGCTGCCTCTGCTATTTTCTGATGTGTACTATTTATTGGGTGTCACTTATTGCAAGCACCCAACACACGTTGGAGCAGATGGGTGTTGGTCTGCCCTTGGCAACCAACCATGCGGACAGAGATGAAGTCATTTCAATTCAGCAACAGGAAAAAAAACATTTCCTCGAAAGCGATGTTTGCCGTTGACTCCCGGATTTGAGTTGAGACCAGTCAGTGCGGTTCTTGCTGGTGGGACCCGCCAACAACCGCTAGCATGCGCCAGGTTAGATCGTGCATGCATACGTGCGATTCGAAGGAGTCGCGGTCGGGTGTGGGGAGTGACGTCCAGAAATGGGATTGACGTGCTGAAGCGTATGTGCAGCACACCACACGGCCAGACCTACAGATCGGTGTATGTTCAATATTAATAGTCTAACGGCCGTTTTTGTGCGGGCCGGGGCACCAAGCAAGGCGTGTTCGTTTCCGCCCGTCGCACCGTCGAAGGTGCAAGCAGGGCGGACATGATTAAGATCGATTTTGTCGATTTCCGCACAGGGTTCAACGCTATCACACCGGGAGCGATAACAAGAGCCATCACCAAGAGGGGCATGTTGGTAACAAACGCTTTTCACACTTGTTGCCCTGGCCCGCACAGCAGTGGCACGGACGGGATGTACAACCTACACGCGGCAAAACTTGGTTCACGTCATCTCGCGCATTGCAAAAAATTCTCAGGCATGGTGTCTCGCCTACCTGCAAGAGCAAATTTCATGCAGCCTGCGTCTACTCGTACGAACAACCGCAACGCATCAATGCCAAGGAACGCGGGACACCCGACAAATTGCAGTTGTGCTGGGCAGGTTGTTGACCGTGGTGAATCATATCCCTTTCTTCATGTCGGGGAAACAAACTGCTGCTGCTGCTGTTTCCCAGTGCCGAAGAGGAAAAGAAAGTAAGTTCTAGTTGGGCCCGCCAGTCACGCGAACACAACACTTACCAACGCTACTCCACGGGGGTATGTGGAAGCTGAGTTGAGTTTGCGAGGCGTCGCACTTGAGCAGCTTCACCGCGACCTCCTTCATCCTGTCAAGCACTGGTGTGTCGGTCTCGACCAAATCCCCAACGTTCGAGATGTGCCTCTTGGGGACCACGAGAATGTCTTGCTTAGCTGCCGGCTTCGACGGGCTGAACGCGACCACGAGGTCGTCTTCGTACAGGAGCTCCTTCTCCTTGGTGTGGTTCGCGAAGTCGCAGAACAGGCAGCTCTGCATCTCTCCTCTCGCGTTCCACACGACCCCCTTGCTGACGATGTCATCATCGGGCCTCTGTTTCCTGGTCAACCACTCGGACAGCTTCCCCATCCCTGCTAGAGTTCCAATCACTTCTGTTGCCTATAGGTTAAGGTGCATGCACGGTGAGAGCGCTGTGGACTGACTCCCTCTCTCCGCTTGCTGCTCTGTCTGGTGTGGTGTGCTGGGTCGAGGGAGGGCAAGGTTGAATTGTTTGATAGGGGACAGGTACACAAGTAGGGCAGCAGCAGGGAAGGGCAGGTGCTCCCACTCTCTTTTTGGCGGGAAAGAGATTCCGCCGCATCCTTTGACCGATCCACGGTGCCCCCCTCAAGTTGGATGCAACTGGAATATTGTATCACCCTGCAGCCTGCTGGCGCTCGTGCACCATCGTTTGTCGTGGCAGAATGGGCGTGGGTACATGGTAGCATATAAGTTGGTTCTATAGTACAACAGACAATCCCCGGCATCTCTTGGCATCTTGTTGGCTGTAGTTGACTTCCTGCTTGCAGACAAGCGCCGGCGATGTTTCGGCAAGCGGTGAAATTGGCCTGCCACACCTGGTTCGGCGCGTGCTTGACGTGGGGGCTCATCATCGATTGGGCTGGATGCGTGGTCATCACCACGATCTTGCCGGACGGCCAGGCCCAGAGGAGGTGTTGCCAGTGGAGCCATTACGTGTTTCGATGCTTCATGCTCAGCTCCTGCCCCTGGATCCGCGTGTCTCGGCCGCCAGTGGAGGAAGTGACAAGGCTGCTCAACCGCGAAAGGGTTTGCGTGTTGATGAACCACACAAGCTTCGGTGACAGTGTCATGTTCGTCGCCACTACTCCCTCCAACATCATCTGGCGCTACCGGACCCTGATGAAGAGCACCCTGTTTGATGTGAGTACACAAGTTCAAGAGAACGCGGAGGCGTCGTACAGATTGGATTTTGTAGATGTGCGGCGTTGGTACTTGTATCGAAACCTTTCGAAACCGCACATCATCTCGCTTACGTACAACCAAGATATCAAGTACTACCGTTTCCATTGTTGTTGCAGAAACGCTGTAGATGTGCCCTACGTTTCTCTACATAAGATTGATGCACAGGTTACATCCTTCCATTGACCAGGTCAGAGCATCACTGCTGTGCAAAGTGGGAACTTGATAGTAACTTCTCAAGTTCCTTGGCAGTTCGGGGTGCCGCGTGCGAGTCTGAGAGACGATACACCGCATCCTCTTTCCCCAGATACTCCTGTGTAGCCGTGCCAGGGGTGGCTTGTGTCGGCATTCGAGGGTGCTTCGGAGAGGCTGCCCCCATTGCCCAGTTGTCACGATCTCCCTCTGTCAGCGCCCGCGCTGTACAGTTTGAACGCAAACTGTGTCATTCTGCGCATGATCGATATCGCTACCCAATTCCTTTGGCCCCGGTGTAACAGATCCGTACGTCTTCTACATGCACTTCTGTATCATCGAACTAAATGAATACGCTTCCAATCACCATCATTTTTGTTGCCCCCGTCCTTGCCACACTAATTGTCTTCTTGTGGGTAACCCAGTGGCCCTTTCTGGGTGGTGTTTGTAGAATGGTGGGACACTTTCCCGTTCTCTTCCGAAGCAAGGACGAGAATTCGTTCGCCGTGGACAAGCCGGAGCAAGCCAAGATAATGGAGAAGGTGAAACCGTTTTTTGGTGTTATGCTTGCTTGCCTTTGTCGTATGTACACGGGTGCACTGCAAAGGACAGGAGTAATAACTGCTGCTTGAGAGTGTCCTGCTGCGTTGTGGCCAAGACACCGAAACATTGAATATCTCACAATACGATGACTTCTACATGCCGCCTTTATCGCACAGACTAGACTACACGACTAAGAAGTTATTCATTTTTTGCCGTCATTTCCGCGAATTACGGAAGATGCGAAAGTAGGCGGCAGCACCGCACTCGAGTGCTCTCCTCGAAGCTCTAACCAGTGTAGTCCCGTCTATCCCCCAGGTGAAAGCACACGTCGAGTCAGACGGATGCCTGTGCCTGTTCCCCGAGGGAAAAATCAACCGCAACCCTGCAGTCCTCTGCCCATTCCGAAGGGGCACGTTCGGGGTGGCGGAAGAGATGAACATGGCCGTGGTGAGCCTCACGACGGTCGGGTGCGACGAGTCTTGGCCCAGAGAGTCCCCGGTCGGGGGCCTGCCGGCCAGGATAGTGATAAGGCTGACCGAGATCGCCGAGGCGGGCCATGGGCTGACGGCGGCGGCGCTGCAGGAGAAGGCCGAGGCGTCCATGCAGGCGGACGTTACGTCTTTGCTTCAGGCAAGGGACGCTTGATGCTGCGGGTTGTTGGGAGGTTTTTGGTGCAGGAGAAGGACGCTTCCTTGCTGAGGCGTCATTGGGACCTTTCTGCTACAGACGCTTTATGATTCCCTTGCTGAGGGGTTATTGGGACGTCCAAGATTCAGGGAGGGGCGGGATAGTTGGGAGAGATTTGTCTGCGTTTGCCGCTGCAGTACATACATGCAGTTTACTGCCTCGCTCCTTCTGTGTTAGAGCTGCATGCGGTGCGAGTCATGTTTGGGATTTGGTTTGTATCATGTGGGAATATTAGACTTTATGAAGTTGTTCGGGGAGCTAAGGGCTGCTCATGGGACAGTGTAGAATCAGGATCCAGACGTAAGTAGCCTAGGATTTTTCGTGAAACCTCAGGTGCGTGCTCGCGAGAACCTCCACACCATACCGTTGTGCTCTGCGTGGACTCATCGCAACAGCTCTTTCGAGTGATGCGCCTGAGTTTGGACGGAATCGTTGTGTGTGATTTCCGTGTTTGTCGTGACCTCGTTTGCCTAAGACAATAGTTTGGTTATCAACGTGCGTTTACGGGTCACCATGATTTGTTCACCTTGTAGGTTTATTCCTTTGGGAGTGAAACGGGATAGCTCCGGCAACGTGTGCTTTGATCGAGTGCGGCCGGCGCCCCAGAGCGTGCACCTCTGCGTGCCCCCTTCGTGCCCCCCTGTGCACATCTAACCCCACTTTGCATGTGCCCTTCAGACACGCTCTTGCTGTTGGCGGGACTTTGGTTGAGCCACCACTTATACCTGTTCAGGGCCTTTGAATAGCGGTTTTACGAACGAGGCGTTCTCCTCGTACAACAGCACACGGGCTGGTTGTGTTTTCTCAGAAACATTCGGATAGGTCTCGTGACTGAGAGAGGCAACCTTCGGTTGTTATTTTCGGTCGGTCTCTTCCTGGGCGTCTGCAGACACCCGCTCCACACCCGGGCCATACCCACACTGTGCACACGTGCTGCTTAGAAGTAGGTTCCTGATATGGAGTGTATATCTTCATCACGGCCGCATTGCCCGGTGATGCAGTATCGCTTTAAGGACATCATCGTGGCGAGAGCTGAACTATTTGCTGGCAACGAAAGCCAAGGCGTTTCTTGCTCCACAGCAACACTACCTGTGGTGTGATGAGTTATTGCATAGTGCCCCTGAGTGGCGTCACCCTTCCGTCCTTGGCCGGAAATCCCTTCCCCGAACAAGTTATCTGTCTGCTGCGCGATGTGTTTACTTTTTAGACGTCAATAAGTGCACAACAGGTCCCTCGAGTCTGTTCACAGCGCATGTGTCCCGCGCTGCCATCAATAGTTTTTATACGTACCTTCCCCGTACAATTTCTCAACGTACACCACTGCTGTAAATGTTGTCGAAGGCACGCGCTCTCGCTCCCCCTCGAATCCCATCTTCGGTGACGAAATAATGTATTGTAGACCACCGTTTGCCATGAACGGCCCGCGTCGAAACGTTTATTTGGCGATAGGAAGACTGCGGGCATGCAGTTGCAGTTGTCCATGAGGCAGGAAGCAAGATTCCTGCGTTTCCGAGGATCTGAAGTCAAGGATATAATCATTCAGTGCGATCTTAACACATCACTGGCAGGCGTTGTTTTGGTCCTTGAGGTGGATTATGTCATCCTTACGAACGCTACTGCGGTAGTACTAATGTATGGTTTGAGAGCGAGAAAGTGTGCAGGTGACCTTGGAAAAATTTCCACAACGGCGAGAGAAAATAGCTGAGATTTTTGAGCCACCGCCGCGCGAATGGGTCCGCGAAAGATGACCGAGTCAGAAGACTCGTGCTCCAGCCTAATAAATCGCCAACCTAAAGAAGAATCAGACAATAATCGCCCATCATATGATCGCCGTGAATCTCCCACAAATAGTCTACATACATGCTTCTATCCAACAAGCCTAAACCAACGAACTCACCCAGATGACATAGCCAAGGAATCCAGACAGGAGCGTCGACGAAGACATCTTTATTGCCAAAAGATTTTATTTTTTACGGTAAACGCATACATAAATACCAACAATATCCGGCACGGCCTTCTTCCTGGCGCTTCTGGACATACAACGTGGCTGGCCACACACAGTGTGGCTGGCGGCCGTTTGCGCGATTGTGCAAGCAGAGAACGCGTTCCTAGCTGTGGACTACCATGCACTACGTACGACATTGTTCCAGAAATGAGGCGAGGCGCAAGATACTAGTAATGAGCCGCGGAGCGAGCGAAGCGAGTGACATTATTCCCTTCGTTTCCAGGAGGGAAAAAAAGACTCTACATATCGGCCAAAGTTGCACCGCGTGATGCAGGGGCCCCAAAACTTGAATATAGGGGAAGCCTATCTATCTAGCACACCTTTGGGACCAGAATGAGATCTATAGGGCACCGATTGACGATCTGTTTGCTTCTTAGGAAAAAGAAAAGTAGCGCGCTCTTCTTCACACCGGTTTCGTCGTGCTGCAAGAGCAGATGGCCGTGCTTCACCGGCGTATGCTGTCAGGAAAAATCGTGCGTCGAGACCACCAGTAGTCGGACACGATTTGACCTTTGAATACGATTGCAGCAACTAGTCTGCGTAGCAGTAGAAAATAATCTATCTCTCCGTGGCATGTATTCTCTTGTTCTAGAAATATTCCCGAAGCATGCTAGGTCAAGGTCGACCGGGACATCTACGTAGAACGTTGTTTGTTTGTTTTTTGTTTTTCTCCCATCATTGGACTCTGTCGTCTGCCCCTCTGGCCCCTATCCTCCACTTCTACTAGCTAGACGACCCAACCGGGGTCACATAGGAGGAGGGGGTTGGACCCCCTCCTGCGGTTCATGCCTGAGGTATTTTTATCGCGAGGAGGGTACAGCAATCCCTTCCGTCGCGACTTACGAAGTCGATTATGGTTTACTAACAAACGAGCTTTGCAGCGCATCGCTTTCATCCTAGACCAGGAATTATTTAGTGAGAAAAAAACTCTCTCTGTCGGGACTCGAACCCATAACCTGACCCTTAGCAGGCTGCGAGGCTACCCACTAGACCACCGAGGCGACCGGGTAACGTGTGTAGCTTCTGGAAACCTTCTGGAACCTTCCGGAAGCTTCTGGAAGCTTCTGGAAGCGTTCTAGACCTAGGTTGCACTTGATACTTTTCTAGAACATAGGAGGGCTTCCAGAATCATTCTGGAAGCATTCTAGATCTTTCGTGTGGTTGGCTTATTTGTCCGGTATCCGAGGAGAGTGGTGCAGCCCTAAGCTCGCCACCCCTCTCACTCCTCTTCAGTACCAGCAACATCAATCTGACTCGGGAGTCAGCAATTAATCTTCATGTTTCCATTCCAAGTCTCTCGCGGTTGGAGCCGCACAGAGTGTGAACCTCTGAGGTAGGCTACACAGCCTCCTGGCATCTGCAGCATCGTACTGCTGCTAGTGCACAGCGCAGTTACGCTGACAGGTTATGAGCCTCGGCTAACGCACACACTACGAGCTGCGAGCATCACGGGAAGATCAAGGCAACCTCCTCTTGGGACATCAGCCTTCCTCCGTGGACAACGAGAGAACGTGGTTTCGGACTTTTCTGGAGATTGCGACGCCGTCATCGGTCAACGGCAACACAAGCAAACGCGCAAACTTGGTCATCTGCACCAAGTTGCTCAGAGTTCACGTCGTATACACACGTTACCACCGCTGCGGCAGCAGTGGGTACCTCTGTGGTGAACTAGCAGCAAGGGTCACGTGCGCGGGAGTCTCGAGCGGCATATGCATCGGGTGTAAAAGGAACTACACTGTGTCATCAGTGGAGGCGATCAGCAACCGGAGTCCTCTAGACTATATCAGTAGCAGGAGTGGGATCGGAAACAAGAAAACCACAACCGGAGTCCTCTAGATTAGTAGCAGGAACGGGGTGGGGGAAGTCTCGGGTACGGGCAGCAGGACCACGAGCAAACTAATCCTGCAGCAGGAAGTACTTTTATCAAGGCGAAGAAAATAAAGCTGGAACGAGCAATGGATACCGCAACGAGCAACACAGGAGGTGGAAGCGCGTTCGCCAGCGATAGTTTTACAAACCTGGCAACCATGATCAGAGGCCTCAAGAAATTCGACGGAAAGGACCCAGCTGAGTTCAAGACATGGATGAAGAAATTCTGCGTGGTGTTAGGCGTGACCACGAAGGACATCCTGCCACTGCTGAAGAAACAAAGGAAGCCAGATCCCGCAGACACAGCGGCCTTCGACTCCTACACAAGGGCAAACGAAAATCTCTACGCCATTCTTTTCCTCCTAGTGGAACTTCCAGCCGCCTTGTCGATACAGAAGCACGAAGACGACACTGGCATCAGCGGCGACGGACAAGCTGCCTTCGAGGAGCTCTGCAACAACTATGACAGGGTAACGGACGAGGTCATCAGGGCCAAGATGGAAGAGCTGGAGAACAACCCCATGAACCCTGATGAAAATCCCGACGACTACTTCAACCAGAAGCACCTACTTCGCGCCCAGCTGAATGGGAGAACCCATCTCCGACCGCCGCTTCACGGGCATCTGCGTACAGGGCTTCCCCGACGAATATAAGGACGTCAAACTGATGGTGTTCAGGGACCCAACCTTCAACGTCCTGGCCATGCAATCCACCGAGCGTAACATGTTCTTGGACGAACAATCGCGCAAGGGATTGAAGAGACGCACAGCTGCTACGAGCCGGAGCACATCAGGAGGAACTAACTGCCCCAAGATCAAGAACAGGGCGAAGAAGAAAGCGAAGCCCGCCGGAGCTACCAAGTGGTGCTCCAAGCACAGCACCACGTCTCACTCGGACGAGGAATGCTACCAACAAGGAGGAAAACGCCCGGAAGACACCAAGGACTCAAGTAAAGCATTCACCGCGTGCTCCGACTACACTCACTGCTCGTCGGCGTCCAACAAGAACGACTCAAACCATGAAGTGGCAGCTGTCGACTTCACCCGGGACGAGGACACCTTCGACAGCGGCTTCATGTTCGGCACGTGTCCCGCATCTCAGGACGCAACTTCGCCGCGAGCTCCACCGGGGTAGGACTGCTGATAGGCACGGGAGCATCGGAGACCATGTTTGACAATCGCCTCATCCCCGACGGAAACCTTCACGATTACACCCAGCGAAACTCTCCAAAGATCGTCGACGTGGCTGGAGAAAGCCAACTCACAGGCACGGCCACGGGCATCCTACACTGCACCGTCAAGGACAATCGAGGACAGCAATTGCGCGTGCGGATTCAGGGACTCGTCGTTCCGGGGCTTGGTCGCAACATTTTTTCGCCCACCTCCCTCCTGAAAAAGGGATCGCGCTGCGTCGTCGAAGAGAGCACTCCGCACCTCACTATTCAAGGCAAGGTGATTCCACTCACACAAGATCCGCGAGACCAAGGCATGTGCACCCTCGACATCACGTTCGAGCAGAACGTCCAGCCATCTGGCACAAAATCCCTCGTGCCCCACCAGAAGCAGTCATAGACCCACACGGCGAACGCCGTCTGCTTTACGCTTGTGAGCGTGGACACCTGGCACAGGAGGCTTGGACATCTCAATGCTCGGAGGCTGGACATCCTTCGGAAAGACGCGTGTACCGGGGTGGACTATCGCGACAGTCTCTCCCCTTGCGGGGTCTGCCAGATCGCGAAACACAAGCAGTCCCCCCACCCGAAGCAATCGACTCCCGAACTATCACGGCCTGGACAACTTGTGGTCATCGACAACATGGGGCCTGTTAATCCACCTGGGAAATATAAAGGAAGCTACTTCCCGTACGCGTGCAAGATCACCGACGACTACAAGAAAATGAAA